CAGACGAGGGGGTTAGAGCTAAAATATCCGAGACAACGCAAACTACCTCGGAGGTGCGCGACAGGGTACACTGACGCGCATAGGCGCGGAAGTGGAAGGTGACACACAAGTAAAGAGAGTACCATACCTATGGGAAGTTGTAGGGCTCTTCTCTAGCTTTCCAATGCATCTTGGATCACCTCATTCTGATATCAAACGAGGGAGTTAGAGCCAAAATACCCGAAATAATACAAACAGCATCGGAGGTGCGCGACAAGGTACACTAACACGCATAGGCGTGGCAGTGGAAGGTATTGTGCAAGAAAAGAGAGTGTCGCGCCTATGGGAAGCTGTAAAGCTCTTCGTTAGCTTTCCAACGCATCTTAGATTACCTCATTCCGAGATCGGATGAGGAAGTTAGAGTCAAAATACTCGAGATAACACAAACTATCTTGGAGGTGCGCGGCAGTGGTAACTGCTGCGGCAATGCGCGACAGTTACGACTGCCACGACAATGTGCGACAGTTACGACTGCCGCGCATACTGAGAAGCTGAAAACATTACTTTTGATAGTTTTCTTGAGTTTCGTATGGCCCACATGGCTTATTAATTGTTGTGGATCACTTATGAACTTAGGGGAGCAGTTACAAGCAAAAATCACGCCCATAACCGCTGAAATAATGGCAATTAAAGGTGGTGGGAGCAGTTATGAAAGGGAAAAAACTGCCTCCTTTGACCGCGTTGTTGGCCTTCTTGTTTTGATGGTGATTTAGCAAATAATTTACATCTAATGTTGTTTATCTAGTGTTTGTGTTTTCGTATTTATTCTAGGCAAACAACGTGTTGGAGGATGGATGGAATAGCGCTCCAACGACGATATCAAATGGATGTTGGCGGAATTATGGAGTGAAGCTTATGTAATTCAAGTTCAAGATCCAAGTTCAGCTTCATCCGCATAGTGTACCAAGTCAAGCTTATTGAAGATCAAGATCGGCTTGGGTAATCTAGTTTAGGTTTTATATTATGTGTGTTAAGTACCTTAAGCTCAATATCATATACACACACGTATTTGGTTTCTATGTATATATATAGTTATATATATATACATGCATGGTTTTGGGTTTTCATGTTTTCAAATATGAAATTACTTATTTCATATTTATTATTGTAATTTGGTTTAACTACTTAGATATGAAACAAATATATTTTCATATACATACTTATATGTTTCATTTTCTATTGTATTTGTAAAAATATTGTATTCTTAGTTTTTGGACTTAATAATAATCATATACATATTTTGTTAAGTCTACATAATCATTGTGCAAAGTTTCAAAACATGGTTTAGCCAAAATGTCAAAGTTCATATATTTTTATTTGAGGAGTGGCGTCGGTTGACGAACCTAGAGAGAGGTTGTAACCGAGCACTTGAGGGAGACACGTCTAGTTCAACACTTGAGAGGGTGTAGAGTGGGATTGCAAGAGTGGTGATTGTAAAGTTTTCGGTTAGCTAGAAAACTGAGTATGAGGTGTAAACGTTGTTCGGATAAGGGTAGAAAACCCGGTTGTGTTAGTGGATTTCTCCCCGGGAGTGGGGAGCGGAGACGTAGGACGGAAGGTCCGAACTTCGTGATCATTTGATTGTGTTTGTGTGTGCTTTGACGTTCATCTATATTTGTGCTCATTGCTCATATCGCCTTTGTCTCATTAGTTAGTTTGCCCACCTCTTTGTTTACATTATTTACCCTTGTGTTGTTTATATATCCTTGCTCATATATTTGTAATATCTCATTGCTAGGATATATTCATTAGTTCATATTGCTCATCCTAGCTCATATATATTGTTGTATTTCATTCTTGCTAGGATAACTTGTTAATTAGTTTTAATTAGCATTTAAATCGGATTAGATTAGCATAAGACCCTAATCACCCCCCCCCTCTAGGGTCTAACACGCGTCAGTGTCCACTGCCGCGCTAAAGAAAAAAGTTAACATCAGTTATTTTGCATTATTGACTCTCAGAGGCTATAAATACCTTCCTATACACGAGATCCAAGGGGGGGAGAGCAGATCCAAGGCAATTAGAGCATAGAGGCTTGAGCTTTTGGCGATTTTGAGCAAGAGAGAGAGAGAGAGAGAGTCTTCATCTTTCAAAAACACTTTTAAGAAACTTTTGGTGATTCCTAGAGATCTAAGCTCAGACTTGATCTTTGGAAGAGTGAACATCTTACACCGATAAGATATTCACTTAAGGTTCTTATTTCGATAAACGAAAAAGAACATTCAAAAGCCTTCACCCCCCCCCCCGACACAGGCAAAGATCTCACAAAAGTAGGAGTTAATAAACGATTCCTGTGTTATTTTCTAGAGAGTTGTAATTTTCTTATTTTGTTGTGTAATTCATTGTAAGCGATTGAAGTTTTAATGGATTCCATTTCAAAATCAACTTTCGACGAAAACAAATGGTAATCTCTAGAATCCATCTATGTTGTTTCTAAGTTTTAAAATCTCTGAATTTTAGAATGTTTTTTTGTAATTTAAACATGACTAAATGGCACTTATATACCCTATTATTTAAAAATGTAGGTGAAAACAGCCGACAAAAATTTAGTTAAGTAATTTTTTACCTTTTTTCCAAAGAGAAGAAAGCTTTAAAAGTTTTTTAATGGAGTGGAAGAAATTTCCTTAAAATGTTCTATCGGCTCTATTTCAAATTCAAATGATGGCATGTTATGAATATTTATTATTATTAAAGTACATATATTTATTTTTGATTATTTGTAAAGCTTCAGCATTAAGGGTTTCTAAAAAGTTCGAAACCCTAATCTGAGAAAAGCATGGAAATTAAGTCCTACCCGGGTTTCGAGTCCGGGTCTGAGTACCTTTACCGATGTCTGTCACGAACCCGGCTTGGGTCGAGACAAGGTAGCACTAAGCCACAAACGGCTATTTTTGGGATGAATGACCAAAATACCCTAAAACACGATAAAAAGGCCAAATTTTAAGGGTATCTTGGTCATTTGACTATGATTGCCTCTATAAATAGAGAGGGTTTTCATTTGGTTTCTCATCTAAAAATCATCATCTTCTCTCTAATTCTCTCTAATATTCCATCATACGCTCTCTTATACTCTCAAATACTCTCTCCTAAATCTCTAATTTCCCTCAATTCCAATGGCTTCCTCCTCCGATTTTGATATCTTCAAGTATGGAAATGCAATTCTTTCAATCCCCGAAATGAGTCCTCTTACTACCAAGCTGGAAACCGAGTCCAAAGATCCAACACCGCTAACTTTTAAAAGGCCGAGGTTCGAAGTGTGGTCTTTCTTTGAGAAGATTAAAGTTATCAAAGATAGTAATGGTTGTATTCTCATCAAAAGGAGAAATCTGCGCTGTCCAACAAAGTCTTTGATGCTCATCATGAGTGCTAGACAACCACCTCAAACGGTATTTGCAAATCCACAATAGAGGACAAGGATCGTCTCAACCTAACATACGCCAATTTCTTCTCTCTCAATCATCTTCTTCAGGTGGCCTTGGTACATGGAGCTACTATGTAATTAAAGTTAGGAAATGCATCATGGAGCTACTATGTAATTAAAGTTAGGAAATGCATCATTACGTTTGTTGTTCTAAAAAATATTTCTTTTAAAATGGTAGAAAATGACGAATTTAAAGATATGCTTAAAGAGGGTATGACTTCATGTATTGCGCAATGGTAGAAAATATATGGAACGATTTCATATCCTGTAGCTTTCCGTCATGACTAATGATTTGCTAATAGTGTAGATTTTTACTGTAGTTTCGGAATGCACCTTTAGCGTAACAGGATGCTTGATTGATGACATATGCTTCCCATCATGACTAGTGATTCGCTAACAGTGTAAGTTTCTACTGTAGTTTTGGAATACACTTTTAGCGTATCAAGATGTTTGATTGATAACCATATGATATCACTGGATCTATCTACCATACAGGTAGTAATGTGCTTACAAGATTGGTGGCCGTCTGAAAAGAGATGTCAAAACATCGACCATTTTGCTAATATTGAAGATAGACTTCAAGATTTAATGATAGCAGATGTTGCAGAACAAGAATAATAAGTTTTTTTTGTAAATTTTTATTTTAAAATTGTACATCTGTAATAAATAATTTTGGAAAGAGTTGCAAGTGATATTGTTACAGATGGGTAGGTGTCAACCTAGTTGGGAAGTACTGATTTCTAGTGATGCGACACTTTCTAAAAAATGTTGTAGTTATTAGTGATTAATAATAAAATAGAATTTCTCTTTGATTATTTTATTTTCTCTAAAATTTGTAAATTGCATAATTCTAAGTGTTTAATATTAAGATTGAATTTATTTGCAAAAATTTCACATCTTTTCAAATACTTCTGAAGTTACGCCTTTTTTTGGCAAAAAATCACAATTGTTTTGTAGAAAACTGAAAGAAAATTAAAATAACCGGGTCGGGCCGATGGCTGGCCCGCAACTGCTAGGACCCGACTCGACTTGAAACATTGGGGCCCGGAGCCTTTTGCTCAACCTGCACCCGAAATTAAGAGTCATATAGTCTGGATCTGCTTAGACACCCCTATTTAGCATGCATGTCATGCTTTGTCTATAAAAGCAATCACATCAACTATATGTTTCTAATTTGTCATTTGTAAGTACTTCACTAAAAAGATATATTTTAGGTGTAAGATAAATTTTTTTGACAAATAGTTGTGAGATTTACTACTTTTATTTATATTTAATTTGGAATGATTAACTTTTAGAATCTAGTCTCTCAGTGATAAGGTCTAAATAAAAAAATATATGAAGCATAAAAGAATAATTTTCATTGTAGGATAAAATGAACCATAAGAAACTAAACATAAAAAAATAGATGTGAACAACATATTCGGTATTAAAAAATTATTTTGAACTTATTATCCATTAGTTGATTTACATTTGCAAAACTCAGTCCTACGTTTTAACATTATAAAATAAAAATAAAAACTCAACAATTATCCATTACGAGACCCATAAATCCGGAAACAAAATATTAACTAATTTTCATAACTATCTCAACAGAAAGATTTTCTTTTTTTTTCCTTAAACAGGAAAGGAATAAAGAGGGAGAGAAAGAAAAAGGAAAACAAGAAAAGCCCTAGATGCCAAATCTGAGCAGTCCAGCCGCCGCCATGGCCACCGAATCCAAGCTCACCCGTGATCAAAACGTCTTGCTCGCCAAAGTAGCTGAGCAATCGGAGCGCTACGAAGAGATGTCCTCCTTCATGGAGGACGTTGTCGTCTCCCGCGACGTCACCGCCGAGATCACAACCGACGAGCGGAACCTCGTCTCCGTCGCCTTCAAGAACCTTGTCGCATCTCGCCGCGCCTCGTGGCGCATCGTCAACTTGATCGAGACGAAGGAGGAGGAGAGGAAGAACGAGAAGAACATCAACCGCGTCAAGAACTACAAGGGGAAGATCGAGGCCGAGCTCGACGAGATCTGTAACAGGATCCTCGGTTTGCTCGACAGTCACCTGATTCCGGCGGCGGAATCAGCGGAGGCGAAGGTCTTTTATTGGAAGATGAAGGGAGATTACTATCGGTATCTTGCTGAGTTCAAGATTGGGGATGAGAAGAGATCGAAGGCCGAGAAGACGCTGGAGGCTTATGTGCAGGCCCAGGTGAATTTTTTCTAGGTTTTTTTTTTTTTTTTTTGGTTTTTTGCAATTTGTTACGGTTTGCTTTCAATTCTAGGCTTAAGATTCCTTTGTTCGCACTTGAAGCCTTTTACGAAATCAGACTGTAGTTACTTGTTTATTTTACTGAAGTCAAACTTTTGTATTAAAATACTCCACCGAACTACCAGCAACAAAGATGCATAAAGCCAAAACTTAAATATTTCCCCATATATATTTAGTTATATTTGTCGGGCCAACCTTTAAAACTTTCCACAGGCAATTATGGTTGTACTTGCATGCGTTTGTTTTGACTTGGAACTTGTACTTAATTGCAATAGATTATTATTTTATTGTCCAACGCATACATAAAATAGTTCACAATATTTAAAAAAAATTAAGGATAGTAAGATGTTTGTCGATTCATTTTATCCAATTTAAATGAGTAAAGTGGGTTTTGATTGGGTGCTTTCCTTTTTGGTCCTTGATGGGTAAGACAGTGTGCTTGAAATGTATGGACTAGTTAACAAAAAGCTGATAAAAGAAGAATTCGTTGGTTACTAATTGATGATGAAGCAGAACGATATAGAGAATATTGATGTTGACGTACATTCCCGGTCATCCGTTGACGTAGATATATATTTCTTATTTTTGAATTATTTGAAAAACTATAATTAAAATTAAACATTACAAGAAAAACAACATTAAAAAATCATCTCATTCCAATTGAGAGCATCCCACCAAGATTTACAAAAATATATTCCAAAAAGTATTTGTTGATGTATTTCTAGATAAAATAAATGAGATAAGTCCAAAAATCCTTGTAGAAAAAGCACAAAATACCTTAAAATTCTAATCATTCCTCAACTTCAAATCTCCCATGATCTAGTCAACATTCAACAAAACTCTTATTTATGGCCATCAATTCTCCAAAATTTTGAATGATCTTCAAGCTCCCAGCCACCTAACAACTTGCCTCCTCTCCTCTCATCTATATACAACATCATTTTATTTTTTACCTGAGCTAATAGTTATTTTTACCCGAGCTAATAGCTTTGTGCTGCCACAGATCCTTTCATACAAAAGCTACTGTTATAGATGTCAATAAAAATTCCCAACATCGTACGTCATGCACATCACATATTATCGAGAGCGAAGCTCACAACCACCATAAAAAATTCCCAATACCATATCTCCTCTATCCTAGGCACCCAAGCAAAAGGAAAGAGATTTAAAAAAACCCTCACATCTTACTCATTAGAGTATAAAGCCACCCATGATCTTATTTTTCTTTTTCTATCTCCACCAAATCACAACTCTCAACCTGGGAGAATCTAGATCCAAAGCAATAGAAAAGGAGAAAGAGTAGTGTTGTTCTCTTCCTCCGGTGACTATGATATTATTGATGTCATTCTTGAATCTCTCACTAGAAAGTTTTCTTTGTAGGCGATGGAGTATGACATCGGGTTTTCAGTTTTCTATTAATCTGTTCGTACATGCATAATATAAGGGGGTAGTGGCCAATAAATATGAGCTGACAACTCATTTAACAAATTGTGCTGCCCATCCACAAGCACTAGATCCTACACCCACCTGATGTGACAACTAGGTGGGCCTAGACATCATTGATATTAGAGCATGCTTATGACACTCTTGTGCGGTATGCTCCGTCAAGAGGATATATTGCTTGCTAATGCATAGTAATAGATGAAGAGAATAGGCTAAATCAAAATGGATTAGATCAAAACTCTATGTCCAACTCCATCTTAGGTAAATAATGAGGATATGGCCGTGAATCTTCAAAAAGAATCCTTCCTCTCGTGATACTGAAATCACTTACATACAACCTAAGTGCCCACTGAGGTAGGTGCTGGGCGTTTGGTTCAGCATCCAGAAGCCATTAACATTTCCTTAAATATCGAGTGACTTCAGTCTAAGGTCCTTGTGACTAGCAACAATCACGAATAGCTGATCTATGATCTTTGTGATCAGTTGGCAGTCATGATGGTCTTCACGACTCGCATTGTAGCACACAATTGGATTTGAATCCAACCTACTGTCCTCATGACCAGCAGACAGTCATGAAGAGCTATAACCTTACCTTTGCAGCGGAGCAACAGTCAATATTTATCAAAACATAGACATGAAGGTTGTCATTATTCATACAATAAACTAAAATCAAACTTCGAAGTATTGGTGTAGTGGAATGAACTTTTAACATGTTTTTATCAGAGATCTGGGTTCAAATAATGCCGGCCACTAATTTAAAGCACACAATTGGATTTGAATCCAACCTACTGTCCTCATGACCAACAGACAGTCATGAAGAGCTATAACCTTACCTTTGCAGCGGAGCAACAGTCAATATTTATCAAAACATAGACATGAAGGTTGTCATTATTCATACAATAAACTAAAATCAAACTTCGAAGTATTGGTGTAGTGGAATGAACTTTTAACATGTTTTTATCAGAGATCTGGGTTCAAATAATGCCGGCCACTAATTTAAAGCGGACTAAAATAACAATTTCGAGTAAATATAGATATAGAATGCTGTGATCAAGCGCGGTAATATATATTGATTATCTGAATGGAGAGTATAGGTGCATAAAGAAACCTATTATTCAGGTTAGTGAGTAGTTTTTTTCTCATTACCAAAGGTAAATAAGGGAAAACCTAAGAAGGGCTTCTGTCAGCAGCCTCAGCCGCCCACGTTCCTTTGATAGCAGCCGTTTTTTACTTTGGATAAAGGAGAGGCTCCCACATCATTATTATAATATAAATGTATAGCAATTTATTATTATTTTATTATGCATAGTATTTTTCAAAATCCTATAAATAGGTTCCAAATCGTTAAGGAAATCTCATCCCAGAAACAACTTCTTATATAGAAGAGTGAGAGAGAAAAAATAGAGAGAAATTCTCCTTGTAAAGAGAGAGAGTTTGTAACTCCAGAGTTTTCTCCTCATAGTGGATTCTTTTAGCCTTGCCCGTGGATGTAGGCAATCAAATGCTGAACCACGTAAATCTGTGTGTCCAACTTTTTATCTCTATTTTGCTTTACTATTGCTGCGATCCTGTTCTATTAGATCTACTTATCGTATGCTCTGTGGCTGTCACCAAAGGTGGATCCTTCACATCAGAAAATAAGTTGAGTTATCATTTACCCTCTGAAGGTGATGGGTACTATTCACAAGTACAGTACTGTTTATAAATATGGTACTATTCACAAGTACGACACTATTTACGAATACAGTTACTGTTCATAAATACAGTTACTGTTTACGTGAGATAGTAAAAAGTTACTGTTCGTGGTAGAAACAATGACGGCAAAGTTTAAGATCACCGGTGTAATTTCTCACTGTGGAAGTTAAAGATAAAGGCTATCTTAAGAAAAGATAATCGCCTGGCGGCCATCAGTGCAAGGTCGGACGACATCACAGATGATAAGAAGTGGAACAAGATAGACGAAAATGCTATTGCAAATCTCCATCTGGCATTAGCAGACGGGGTGCTGTCAAGCATAGAGGAAAAGAAGACAGCAAAGGAGATCTGGGATACTCTAACAAAGCTATATGAGGCGAAATCCATGCACAATAAAATCTTCTTAAAAAGGTAACTTTACACTCTTAGGATGGCGAAATTTACATCGATGACCAACCATATCAACACCCTAAATACATTGTTCTCCCAACTCACAACGTTGGGGTATACAGTTGGTGCAAATGAACGTGCAGAACTTCTACTTCAGAGTCTACCTGACTCGTATGATCAACTCATAATCAACATGACAAACAACGTCCTTACAGACAATCTAGTCTTCGATGATGTTGCAGCCGCTGTTCTGGAGGAAGAAAATCGGCGCAAGAACAAGAAAGACAGGCTGGCAAGTTCGCAGCAAGCGAAAGCCTTGTCGGTGACGAGAGGAAGATCAACGAAACGTGGCTCCAGTGAGAGTCATGCCCATGGTAGATCGAAATCACGAAGTAAGAAGAATATCAAATATTACAACTGTGGCAAAAGAAGGCACGCCAAATTGGAGTGTTGGCATAGCAAGAAGAGTGGAGATAAAAAATCTTCAGAGCCATCAACATCTTAAGGATGCGTTGTCAGCACATCAGATGATGGTGAAATTTTATATAGCGGAGCAAACACTGTTGATGAAGGCAGAAAGAAGTTTAGTGATGTTTGGCTTCTGGATTCAGCAGCCTCCTAGCACATGACCTCTCGGAGAGAATGGTTTCACAAATATGAACCTATCTCAGGAGGATCTGTATTTATGGGGAATGATCATGCCTTGGAGATTTGTGGTATTGGTACTATCAAAATCAAAATATTTGATGGTATAATACGCACCATTCAAGATGTGCGACATGTGAAGGGTTTGAAAAATAATCTATTATCTCTGGGATAATTAGATGAGCTCGGGTGCAAGACCCATATCGAAAATGGGATCATAAAGATTGTTAGAGGGGCGTTTGTGGTGATAAAAGGAGAAAAGATAGCTGCAAATCTATACTGCTCAAGGGAGAAACCATGCAGGAAGCTGATTCATGTGTGGCATCAACCAGCTGTGGAGAAGAACAAACCATGATGTGACATCGCAAACTAGGCCACATGTTAGAACGAGGCTTGAAGATTCTCTCCGATCAGAAACTGCTTCCCGGACTTAATTCGATAACTCTTTCATTCTGCGAGCATTGTGTTACTAGTAAGCAGCATCAGCTAAAGTTCAACACATCGAGTTCTAGAAGCAATGCTATTCTGGAACTGGTTCATTCTGATGTATGGCAAGCACCAGTTACATCCTTAGGAGGAGCAAAATACTTTGTGTTCTTTATTGATGATTACTTCAGGAGATGTTGGGTGTATCCTATCAAGAAGAAGGCGGATGTGTTCTCGGTTTTTAAAGCCTACAAAGCGCGGGTCGAGCTTGAATCTGAGAAGAAGATCAAGTGCTTGAGGTCAGATAATGGAGGAGAATACACAGACGGTGAATTCCTAGCATTCTGCAAGCATGAAGGCATCAAAAGATAATTCAGTACGGATTATACTCCTCAACAAAATGGAGTGACAGAGCGGATGAACAGAACTCTGTTGGAAAGAACAAGAGCTATGTTGGCAACTGTAAATCTGGATAAAGTCTTTTTGACGGAAACAGTAAAAACCGCCTGTTATGTGTTGAATCGATCTCCATCAATTGTAATACAATTGAAGACGCCGATGGAGGTGTGGACTGGCAAGCCAGCTGATTATTCCAACCTCCATATATTTGAAAGTCTAGTGTTCGTAATGTACAATGCCCAAGAAATTACAAAGTTGGATTCAAAATCTAGAAAATGCATATTCTTGGGGTATGCTGATGGAGTAAAGGGGTATCGCCTGTGGGATCCCACTGCCCGTAAGGTTATCATCAGCTGAGATGTTATCTTTGTAGAGAACTAACTACAAAGTGAAGAGAAAGAAAGCAGTTCAAGGAAGGACTCAGAGACTGTAGCTGTTCAGATAGAAGATAATCCGAATTCTTCTGAAGCAATACCAGAGTATGATGTACAAGAATCGGTCGAGTCCGAGGCTCCAAAAATTCGAAGGTCAACTCGTGAGAGAAGACCACCGACTTGGCACTCGGAGTGTATTACGGAGAGTAATGTTACATACTGTCTTCTAACAGAAGATGAAGAGCCATCAACTTTTCATGAAGATATAAATGGCACAGATGCATCTTTGTGGATGACAGCAATACAGGAAGAAATTGAAGCTCTCCATAAGAACAAGACTTGGAAACTTGTGTCACTGCCACAAGAAAAAAAAACTATTGGAAACAAATAGCTCTACAAGATCAAGCGAAATGGCGATGATCAAGTGGAGCGATATCGTGCTAGATTGGTGGTAAAAGGATATGCTCAGAAAGAAGGTATTGATTTTAATAAAATATTTTCTCCTGTAGTTCGACTTACAACAGTCCGAATAGTCCTGACTATGAGCGTTATATCTGACTTACATCTAGAGCAGCTAGATGTGAAAACAATATTTTTTCATGGAGATCTTGAAGAAGAAATTTACATGCTCCAACCAGAAGATTTTGAAGAAAAAGGAAAAGAAAACTTGGTTTGCAGATTGAACAAATCTCTGTACGGTGTAAAGCAGGCGCCGAGGTATTGGTATAAGAGATTTGATTCATTCATCTTGAGCCTTGGATACAACAGACTTAATTTAGACCATTGTGCATATTTCAAGAGGTTTGGTAAAAATAACTTTTTTATCTTATTGTTGTATGTTGACGACATGTTGGTTGCATGCCCCAACAATGCCCCAACAAAGATCGTATCCAAGAATTAAAGGCTCGGTTAGTTAGGGAATTTGAAATGAAGGATTTAGGATCTGCAAACAAGATTCTAGGAATGTAAATTTACCGAGATAGAATTAATAGGAAGATTTGGCTTTCTCAAGAGAACTATTTGAAGAAAATCTTGCGACGCTTTAACATGCAAGATTGTAAGTCAATTTCTGCTCCACTTCCTGTTAATTTCAAGTTATCCTCCAGTATGAGTCCTAGCAGTGAAAAAGAGAGGATGGAGATGTCTCGAGTACCGTATGCGTCAGCAGTGGGAAGTTTAATGTTCGCGATGATTTGTACAAGACCAGACATTGCACAAGCAGTGGGAGTGGTTAGTCGATACATGGCGAATCCCGGTAAAGAGCATTGGATGCTGTAAAGAGGGTTCTAAGATACATTCAAGGAACCTCAAATGTTGCATTATGTTATGGTGGATCTGATTTTATTATCAGTGGATATGTTGATTCTGATTATGCAGGTGATCGTGATAATAGCAAATCTACAACAGGCTATGTCTTTGTACTTGCTGGTGGAGCTGTAAGCTGGGTTTTAAAACTGCAGTCAGTTGTGACTACTTCAACAACAGAAGCAGAGTATGTAGCAGCTACACAAGCTAGTAAAGAGGTGATGTGGTTGAAGATGGTGCTGGAAGAACTCGGCCATGAACAAAAGAAGATTTCTCTATTTTGTGACAATCAGAGTGCTTTGCATTTGGCAAGAAATCCAGCCTTTCATTCAAAGACCAAACACATTCGAGTTTAGTATCGTTTCGTTCGTGAGAAAGTGGAAGAAGGAACAGTGGATATGCAGAAAATTCACACCAAAGATAACCTAGCTGATTTTTTGACAAAAGCAGTTAATACTGTCAAATTTATTTGGTGTCGATCCTCCTGTGGTCTGTCGAAAACGTAAGCAACATGAAGATGGTAAGATAGAAAGAATGGTGTGAAGATATGATTGATACTCAATCAAATCTTCAAGTGGGAGATTGTCAACAGCCTTAGCCGCCCACGTTCCTTTGATAGCTGCCGTTTTTGACTTTGGATAAAGGAGCGGGCCCCACATCATTATTATAATATAAATATATAGTAATTTATTATTATTTTATTATGCATAGTGTTTTTCAAAATCCTATAAATAGGCTCCAAATCCTTTAGGAAATCTCATCCCAGAAACAACTTCTTATATAGAAGAGTGAGAGAAAAAATAGAGAGAATTTCTCCTTGTAAAGAGAGAGAGAGTTTGTAACTCCAGAGTTTTCACCTCATAGTAGATTCTTCTATCCTTGCCCGTGGACGTAGGCAATCAAGTGTCGAACCACGTAAATCTGTGTGTTCAACTTTTTATCTCTATTTTGCTCTACTATTACTGCGATCCTGCTTTATTAGGTCCCGGGTTTGTCCCAACAGCTTCTTTATCGGTGTAGAGTTTTGATGTGGGTCCTTGAATCCATAGTAGCCACAATTTTTTTTTACTTTTTTCATTTTATAGTAATTTATTATGAGATGAATGATGAGATGAGTATAAGATCGTTAGAAGTTATATAATTCTTCTGGTTGTTGGGTTTGGGAGGTCAATTGCTTAAAAGTTTTCCCTCTTTACTGTCTGTATTTTGTTCTTGATCTCTGCAAACTTTGTTTGCTGTAGTTAACAATTTTTGACATTCAATAAGAATTGAGTTCCATTCCTCTTAGGTTATTTGACACTGCTTTTTAAGTCAATTTTTGTTCTCAATTTCTTTTGAACCGTCTTTGGTTATGTTTTCTGCATCTAGTTATAGTAGAGAAACTGAAGCTTTTACCGAAAATTCAACTCTTGGATGGACACATTGTTGTTATGGCCTTATAATATCCCCTCTTTTCTTTTCTTTTTCCACAATTTCTTTGTTGTAGTGTTACTTTGTTATAAATGCCAATATCATGAAAGAAGCTCAGCTAAGTTCTATGATTTAAAGAAATCTTTCAAGGGTAAGAAAGCTGAAATGCGACAATACTGTAATATTGTTGACTAGATATTTGTATCATTTTTCTGTGATTGATTTTGTTTTCCCCTAATTTGCAGGAGATTGCTTTTGCTAATCTTTCATCAACACATCCAGTAAGGCTTGGGCTTGCACTCAATTACTCTGTTTTCTACTTTGAGATCCTGAATCAACCAGAGATGGCTTGTAGCGTGGCGAAACAGGTTTGATCTTCTATCCTGCTTTATAGATGTTAATCTACCTTTTGTGGTTATTCAGTTCTTTTTTCCTTTTAATTAAATTTTGAAGTCTGTCCAATGCAAGTAAGATCGAAGTATACATTCAGGAATTTTTTTAAACAATTGGATGGTATACTTTTTTATGGAATGTTTTTTGACAAGTACGATAAAACGCTTATTAAGATCCATACAACCATGCCATATCTAGCCATTCAAGGGAAGAAAACAAATAATATTAATTGTGACCCACCATTTCATGAATGCTTTGCTCCATGATTGGGCCATCTATCTGCTAAGTTTTACACAACTACTACAAAATAATCAGTATAGTTCAGACGTATAGTTTCTTTCCCACTAGTGGACAACTACTTCTGTCCCTTCTCTAGGTTGTAGTTCTTCTTATGGTTGAAAAAAATATAGCTGATCCATATCTGATTACATTTTATTTGTTTGGTCAATATGAAAACTGAAGGTATCTACTTGAGATATGGATACAAATAGCACTGGTTGTTATCATTCCGGTTCAAATCATGGATAATATCTAATTATTTGAATATTTGAAGTTTGAAACTCTAGAGAAATAGCTATTAATGGAGGTGTATTAACATTGTTTTGCAGCAGATTGATTGCATAATAAACAACATTCAGTATAAATAATATCGTTCTTTTCTCTTAATGCAATAGTCTTTAAAAAACTAACTTACCAGACATTTCATCTGGGCTCCCGTACTCGTGTTGCACATGTATCTGACACTCCTTGGACACTTCTTGAATACATACATTTATTCGGACCAGTGTCTGACACTTCTTGAATACATACATTTATTAGTTGCGATATGTATATATAGTTGTGCCCCTTTACATATTTGTAGTGTCTCATATCCGCACTCGTGTCCGTGTCTGCTCCTGCACCTGTGCAATATTGAAACAATATATGTTCATTTATAATGGCAATAAAGTCAACTATGCGCAAGAAGAATTGATATTTCTTGCATGCTTCGTAGAGGATTAACCAAAATGTGCAACAGTTTCTCCACTGTAAGGGGAGAGATAATGTGCTCAGACAAATCGAGTGTAAATATTAACAACTAAAAGGCAATTGTAAATTCCTAGTTGTAACATATTGTTAAAATCTAAAATTATAACTCTCAACCCTCATCATAGCTTTGTAGTTTTGGTGGTGAGAGGATCCATTGTTATGGTATCAAAACAACTCATGTTCAAATCCTACTGGACACTAATTTCTAAAGAGGACTAAATAAATATACTACTCCGCGATTCCAGTTTTCTACCCATTCAAGTCCTACTGAACACTAATTTCTATAGAGGACTAAATAAAAATATACTGATCGTGATTCCAGTTATCAACCCATAAAAGGGTCCGCAACTTGCAGGGAGATGTTAAGATATACAATTATAACCCTACTCTTATCACAATTTTAGAGTTTTGATGTAGTGACAGAGTCATTTGACAGACACCTTTTAATAGAAACAATATTCGTTCATATAATTGTAATAATGTTAGACCTCGCATTAGCTTCAGAATTTTCACTTAAAATAAAAAGCCAGCTTGAATTTATGCTAAAGGAAAACACGTTTCTCTTTTTGTGTTAGAACTGAATCAGGGACTAATCTCTTTCGGTTAGCACTGAAAACACGTAAGAGAAGGGAAAAATCTTCATGGACTGGCTTCCACCAACCTAAGTTTCGCACTTTTCTGACGGTGGTAAAGGGAGACCACATAAGGAGCTCTTCCTCATTCAGTCATATTCTTTAGTCAGAAATCATTGACCTGTTTTCCCATCATTTCTGCTTGACTTTAGCCTTACAAAACGAATCCTATCAAAGATTTTTCTCCTTTGAATTACTTATTGAATTTCATTTTGTCCTGGAAGCTATTCCAGGAGAAGTTCAAATCTATTCTGTTCTGATACTGATCGGTGTAGGTTTGACATAGTTTATGCGTTACTGGTTCCCGGAAGAGTCATTCTCTATTAGCTAAACCCTTTCTTGCCCTACCTTTGGACTTGTATTTTGTTTGTATACAATCAACAGGGCGGTACTTGCTTGTAATCGTATGAATCAACTTATTTTCTATATCCTAGCAATCAGCTGATATAAAACTGTGTATTATGTTATATGAGCATGCTTATGAAGATGCTTATGAAGAACAAGCAAATTCAGAGCATGCTTGCCCATATTTTAATCTACTACTTTGTTAAAGTTGAACGCGGTTTCTATTGCTTCCATATGTTTTGAGATGCTCTAACAGGTACATGGTTAGTAATTTTTCTGTTGGGAGAATAGCAAAACATAATCATTTCCTGTCTTATTGAAGTTCTAAAATCATGTCTTTTAGTTAAAATCTTGACAGCCATTTCCTTTGGAACTCAGTGTAGGATAGCTGATTTAAGTCACAAGAACTTCCAAAGCTGAAATCCAACAAGTCAAAGTTTGAGATTCTAGAACGATAGCTGTTCAACAGCGTGTATTAACAATGTTTTGCAGCAGATAGATAGCATAATAAACAAGATTCAGAATAAGATTATCTTGTTCACTTTTATCTGTGCATATTGTCTGACATTGGTTTTCATTAACACGTAAATTAATGCAGGCATTTGAGGACGCTATTGCAGATCTGGATAGTCTCCCTGAAGAGTCCTATAGGGATAGTACTGTGATAATGCAACTAATGCGAGACAATCTTACTATTTGGACTGCTGATATCCGGGTAGGAGCACAAATAGTTTCACATACTATTTACTTATTAAATCCACGTAAATTATGCTTTGTGCTCTTTATTTTAACATATTCTTAATGTCGCAGGAGCATGCTGACATTGACAAAGAGTAGATGCGTATCAGCTTGATTTATATTGCCCCCTTGGTCGATGTGGCTTGATTCTTTTTCTATGTCTGGAAATTTTAGGTATATACACAATATAGGCTTTTTCCATCTTCTTATCGATTGTGGCACATCAGATATTTTGAGGGTATAACCTGAGATTTTGTAAAGGCACAGTTTCTTAGTAGTTGCTCCTAGTTCTCTAGTGCTCGTTTTTCTTTTTCTCTAGGTACTTGCTATATTGTTCAGTGACCAGTGAATCAAAATGTTGCATAAATTTGAATTTACATTGGAAACGTTTATGTTCACAACAATGTCCCTGATTGTTCAGCGAAGGAGTCCTGAGTTTTCTAGCTAATTCTTGACAAGTTAATAGAGCAACGTCGGTCATTGTTGTTGATCCTTTTCTTCGTGTTAATATGCTTGATAATGTGTGCAACATATAGGTTTATTATTCCAGCACTTTATGCATACGTTAGGCGTATATCGAAACTGAATTTTGCGAGGGGGTCAATTTGGCGTGTATATTCAAACTGAATTTTGTGAGGGAGTCAATTTGTGTAGTCGCAACGCTGGTGCCCATATATCGAAACTGAATTTTGTGAGGGAGTCAATTTGTGTAGCTGTAACTCTGGTCCCCTTCTGGTCATCAATTACATTTTGTTTAAAATGTTTTTAGTGAAGCATTCTTGTTTCGATTCAAGCTGGGCGCCTGATCTTGTTTTCTTACTCAGCTTGAGGGACATTATCACTACGCGTAAGGAAATCTCATTACGCAAAGAGATTTTAACATGATCACTTGATTATAATTTAAAGGCCCACGGATTTACGTAATATATAAGCTTCAATAAGGCGGAAGAATGCCCCAGAGGTATAATGCAACTAATAGATCTTTAGTGGGCAACGCAACTCGTGAACAACAAATTGCGCCAAACATTACATGCCCCACGGCCCCCACCCTAACTCCAAAGAAACGAGATACATGCAGGCATCTTCGATTCCACAGGACCCGAAAAATAACAACTTTCACTTTGAAGACCAAGCAAGTTCGCAGATGGAGAGTGCACATGTGCATGCCTTTGAGATTGGAATTTGCCTTTTATGGGCAGGGGGAGTTGCATACGTGCTTCAAAGCAAAGGCGAAAAGCAAAGGCGAATGAAAGAGAGTGGGGGAGGAATAACCAAGGGTACGGTAGGGGAGAGGAATCACCTTCAGAGATAATCATTCCACTCACTATGTGTTTGCAGAACCAGCTTGCTTCCGCAATACCTGGTGGGGCCCTCCAACACACGTGCCTTGATTTTTCACTATTGGCGTACGCATGCGTATCTCCAAGACAAGATATTATAACCCACATGTTTTATAATCTACGTACTCAGCCAATTTATTTTTATCAGCCCATACAAATGTCATAGCCTACGTTTATATTAGCTCACAGAAATATACATCCAGCCAGCACCATATTGATCTCATCCGAATTAATATTAGCACGTCCACACTTATATTCGCAACCATTCTAGCCCACAATTAAAAGTTTATGGCCTTGGCCTAGTAAATGGATCATGCCCAGCCCCAATAGGTTAATTGCGACCAGACCCCTACGGTATCCCCCACTTTGCAAATTGACCCCATGTGGTCGTATTTGTGCGAGTAGATGAGGATAGACTCTCTATAGTTGAACTAGTGAAAATAGACCCCGTCTGCTATTTTTTTTTTTTTTACTTTCAAACCTGAGCTTTTGCCCCTATTTATAATGGTAAACATAAAAAATATAGAAAGTTATGTCTTTCTAGATATTATAAGGGCAACAACCTCCATTAAAACTCATAAAAACACATTGATGAATAGAAAATTCCGGTCACATATTTTTTTATCACTTGCGATTGGGTAGAACTTGTCCAAATGCATCACATGATAACAGTGTGATTTAAATTTAATGAAAAACATAACAGAATTTGGACAAGGTATAACAGAGAAATGTGATTGAAACTTTGGGTAATCAAAGTGTTAAAAAAATACTTTGGTATATGACAGTGAAAGTGGATTGGAATATTAGGGTACCAAAGTGTTAGAAAAATGCTTTGAGGCATCAAAGAGAACTGTGGCCAAACTTTGGGTGAACCAAAGTGCAAATAAGTTACTTTGATATTAGTCCCCTAAATCATTCATATTTCAAAATTAGTCTCATTAAAACACTAAAATTTGCTATTAGGTCTTTCAAAATTAATCCCTCAAATTATTAGAATTGCTGATAGGTTTCTCGATCCTTAAATTACTTTGATATTAGTCCTTCAAACCAAGAGTAAAATTAGCAATTAGATAAATATATTTGACACAACTTAATAAAAAATTTGATGTACAAGAATTTAATAGAGTAGACATGCAACGCACGTGCCTTTCTCACTAGTATTGGAAAAGATGAAAGCAAATTGCACCCTCAAAGTTGAAGAAATTACAGAAACTCAGAAGAATTAGGCAAACCAGGCGGCGGTCGACCGGTCCGGTCGACCGCATTCGTACACAAAGCTTACTGTGCATCAGGATGGTGGTCGGTCGACCGGTGCGGTCGACCGAGGGGTTCTCTGGAGTTTGGATTTTCTACTGGGAGCTGGTCGGTCGACCGGGCCGGTCGACCGGAATTGATCGCGGTCGACCGGTCCGGTCGACCGATTTGTAACCCTATTTGTATTCTCTTGATTTCTAGTAGAAAGAACTCCCCCCCTCCTTGCCCCGTGGATGTAGTCAACTTGTCGAACCACGTAAATTGTGTGTTCTTGCTGTGATTATGGTTTGCATATTATTTGTGGTTTAGTTCGAGTTATTGTTCGTGTTGCCCTAGAAAGCTTCCGCCGCGCACAACAATTGGTATCAGAGCTAGATCGACAACATGGGAGATGCAAGCACGTCAGGTTCGTCTCTAACAAAGGCGATACAGAGTCTGAGCATCAATAACACGAAGATTGATGTTCCGAAGTTCGATGGCAAGATCAATTTTGGATTGTGGAGGTGTCAGGTGATGGATGCTTTGGATGCACAGAATTTGGAGGAGACTCTTGAGTTAAAAGAGAAACCCGCTGAGTTGGAGGATAAGGTTTGGAGAAAGATGAACAGTAGAGCTTGTGGTGTTATTAGGTCATGCTTGACGCCGGATCTTATTTATGATGTTATGAACGAGACGTCGGCGAAGAAGATGTGGGAAACACTCAATGAGAAATATCTTACGAAGAGCATTGAGAATCGGCTTCACTTGAAGAAGAGATTTTACCAGTTCAAGATGAAGAGAGGGGTTTCCATCAGGGAGCATGTCAACAATTTCACTAAGCTACTTTCAGATATGGCCAATGTTGATATTATAGTTGAGGATGAAGACAAGGCGATGCTACTTCTGTGTTCGTTGCCCGAAGATGATTATGGTACGTTCGTTCTCACTATGATCAATGGAAGAACTACAGTTAGCTACAAGGAGGTGACCTCAGCTTTGGTGAACTATGAGTTGAGGAAGAGTGATGGTGAACCCTCCGAGAAGGCATCGGGAGATGCGTTAGCAGTTCGAGGCCGAGATCCAAACCGTCGTCAGTTCAACCGCTCAAAGTCAAAGAATAGGAGTGCCTATAAGAGTGTTGGTAGAAATCAATGTCGGTATTGTAAAGAAGAAGGACATTGGAAGATTGACTGCCCAAAGTGGAAAGAAAAAGCCGGAAAGAATAAGGGGAAAGCTGCACAAGCTTCAGAAGTGAATGTTGCAAAAGCTATTGGTGAGCATTCAGATTCAGATTCTTCAGGCTATTCATGCCCTGCTTTACCGTCGGTTTGCTATGCGGATTCCACGGAGTGGATGATGGATTCGGGAGCTACATATCACATCTGCCCTAAGAGGGAGTGGTTTTCTAGCTTTGAGGAGCTGGAAAGAGGGGATGTCGTGCTTATGGGTAATGATCACGTATGCCCTATTGGTGGGATTGGTTCAGTCCGGATCAGGATGCATGATGGTGTAGTGAGGGAATTGAAGGAAGTGAGGTTCGTGCCGCAGTTGACGAAGAACATCATTTCTCTTGGGACTTTGGAGGCAGCAGAATATCGAGTAATCTTAGAGGATGCTACAGTGAAGGTCACGAAGGGTTCTATGGTGGTGATGCGAGGTGTCAGGGAAAACTACCTATACTACTTGAAGGGCAAGACAGTTACATGGGGTCTGGCAGCTTCTATCACTACAGAGGAGGACACTACCACCTTATGGCACATGAGACTTGGACACACAGGAGATAAGTCCCTACAGTCATTGGCTAAACATGGGCTATTGAAAGGTGCTAAGACCTGCAAGATGGAGTTGTGTGAGCATTGTGTACTTGGGAAGAAGACTAGAGTGAAGTTTGGCACCGCTGTTCATAACACCCTAAGTATATTGGATTATATTCACACAGATGTTTGGGGTCCTTCCAAGAACACATCTCTTGGTGGGGCCAACTATTTTGTCACTTTCATTGATGATTATTCCAAGAGGAATTGGGTATACCCGATGAAGCATAAACATCAGGTTCTGGATATTTTTGTGGAGTGGAAGAAGAAAGTGGAACTGCAGACAGGTAGAAAGGTGAAGACTCTACGTTCAGATAACGGTGGAGAGTACAAGAGTGATCCGTTTCTACAGTTTTGCCGGGATCACGGCATTAAAAGACACTTCATAGTTCGAGAGACACCGCAACAGAACGGGGTGGCTGAGAGATTGAACCGTACCTTGCTGGAGAAGGTGCGGTGTATGATGACGCAGAGTGGATTGCCTAGATCCTTTTGGGCCGAGGCGTTAGTTTATGCGAGCCATCTCGTGAACAGGTTGTCGTGCACTGCGATAGACGGGAAGACTCCTTTGGAGCGTTGGTTTGGTTCGGTGGCTAGTGACTATGAGTCGCTTCGGATATTCGGGTGTCCAGCTTATTATCATGTCAGTGATGGTAAATTAAATCCGAGAGCGAGGAAAGCAGTCTTTGTGGGATTTAGAGATGGAGTCAAAGGCTTCAAATTATGGGATCCACAGGACAAGAAGATAGTTATTAACAGAGATGTCACATTTGACGAGGCGTACATGATGAGGCCTCGAACCCCTCAGCAGGTGAAGGGAGACCAGACAGGAGAGATATCGCAGCAGGTGGAGGATGATGTGACTCCACCCACTCCAGAGAACATTGTATCCATTGAGGCTCCTACAGAGGTGACACTGGGAGGGGGTGAGATGACAGATGGGCAGATACAGGATACAGTAGATCATGGGACTCAGGAACAGGGTCATGT